GGTTTATTCTGGTTTATTCTGGTTTTATATCTGCTCTGGTTTATTCTCAGGCTTAGAGCTGGAGATCTCTCACCGGTCATCTTCTCTATAAAGCAGTAGACGTCGTAGGTCTCTGTGGGGTCCCTCAGGCCGTAGGTCCTCACGCCCGGGAGCATTTCTTTGTCTCCGTAGCAGTTCACGCGGGGATCCTGGATCGGGTACCTTCGATTTAACAAAAAAAAGCTTGACCTGGTTTTTTCATTGAAAAATAATAATACAGAAATGAAATGATAACATAGAATAATTTGCTTTTGGCTTTTTTGTGAGCAAAATTGAAGTAAAATTGTGCCAGAAATATTGTTTAGATCTGATTTAAAACAAATATGTAATTTGTCTTCTTTATTTTTTCAAAACATTTTTTAAAAAACTTAAATTGAAATTGTATTTATGATTCTTTTTTTCCTGGTTCATGCTTTACAGGGTTACATTCACTCCATTTTCCATCCTCTGACCATTAATGTCCCGCAGGAAACTTTTTATGCTGAAAGAGTGTTAAAAAATTTGACTTTTTTCAATGAAAAGCACATTTTTGCAGGACGTGACATCTCAAAATATCACATTAATCCTCCTTTTTTCCAATTCTGAACATTAATACAACGTTTTTTCCTCAGAAAATCTACTTTTTATGCTAAAAGAGTGTTAAAAAATATGAATTTTTTCAACAAAAAGCTAATTCTTGTATGACATGACATCTCAAACTATCAAATTCCCCTTTGTTTTCAGATTTTTCATATTCTGAACATTAATACCATGTTTTTTCTGTAGAAAATGAACTTTTTATGCTTAAAGAGTGTTTAAAAAACTACTTTTTTCAATAAAAAGCACATTTTTGCATTACATGACATCTCAAAATATCACATTAATCCTCCTTTTTCATATTCTGAACATTTATACCATGTCTGTTTGGCAGAAAATCTACTTTTTGTGCTGAAAGACTTAAAAAATATGACTTTTTTCAACGAAAAGCACATTTTTGCACGACGTGACATCTCAAAATATCACATTTATCCTCCTTTTTTCAGATTCTGAACATTAATACCACGTATATTCTGAAGAAAATCTACTTTTTATGCTAAAATATTATTAAAAAATGCAACTTTTTTCAACTAAAAGCCCATTTTTGCACGCCCTGACCCCCCAAACTCCCCCATTTCCCCCAGAACCCCCCTCTGAACAGGTTTATTCCCTGGACTGGGCGTGGCCGCCCACCTGACGGTGCGGTCGGACAGCCAGCCGGCGTCACACTGGTGCAGGCCGTGGTGGAAGGCGGCCTGCAGCTGCTCTGGGGACGCCAGGGCGCCGCTGTTCCGCCGGCACGCCGCCGCCGCCGCCGCGAAGCTCAGAGAGTAGCGGCCCGACGCCGGCCGGTAGTGGAACACCACGCCTGGACAGGAAAAGCAGAGACTTTGTTCATTCCTGGTGAAAATCAGCCCAAAAACAAAAGAGTCCTTCCGTCCTCCAACACTTTTCTTTGGGAAAATGATTATTTTGTGTTGCATATTTTTCCACTAAAGGCCCATAATCTTATTAATTGTTGAGTTTAACCTAAATTGTTTTGTTTTTTTCCATAGATAATGGCATTTGACAATTCCTCCTTGAGGGATTTTTTGGCCAAATTCACATGGCGTCTGGATGTTATTGGGCAAGTAAAGCTCAGAGAGTAGCGGCCCGACGCCGGCCGGTAGTGGAACACCACGCCTGGACAGGAAAAGAAGAGAGGAGCTGCAGGTTTTGGGGCAGTTTGGGAGACTTTGTTCAGTCCTGGTGAAAATCAGCCCAAAAACAAAGAGTCCTTCCGTCCTCCAACACTTTTCATTGGGAAAATA